CTTCCAAATTCCAGCACAGGAGCAACCCCAGGACCCTAAGGAGACACAAATCGCAGTGACCTTAGGTGTGGTACCACCTGCCTTCTGCAGCCTCCACATGTGGCTGAGCAGCTTTGCTGCAGCATGGACTACCTGGAGGCTCATGGAGCTTCCTCTAAGACATGAGGAAAAGTTAACCTCCTGGTGGTAGATGGGTTAAATGACTTGCTCTCTGCCAGCTCTCCTAACACCAATGAGTCTGGCATAGGTTTCCTCTCTGGCCACTGCTGATTCTACTAGCAAGGGCAGGATTTTGCCCTCAACTATTCACAAGTAATTAATGCATTATTGAACAGGAATAAATAGATAGCAATTAAATAACAAGTATTAATGACTTATTTATTAACATATTAATAGTTGGCCTGAGAGTAATAAATGCAAATTAGTGTAAAGTGGTACCAAAAATTGTGTCGATAATAGGCCCTGAAGTAATCTTGTGTGTTCAAGATAATTACAAATATATTTTCCTTTCAAAAAACTAGCGCCGGGTAATTTTTTATGGTTTTCTATAATATCATTTTAGAATTAGAAAATTAGCCCTAGTCTCATTAAAATAATTTTGCAGTGCATCAGGCTTTATTTCAAGTGTAAGTTTCACATTATCTTCTTGCCTATAGAGCTTGCATTTTCTTCAGAAATCCTCCCTATGTGCAAACCTTTTGGGCCCATGCTTGGTATAGTATTGGTGTATACAATGGTTACTGTTTGTACAATTTTTCCCATCATTAGTAGTATTATGCAAAAAGTCCCACTGCAAGCAGTGGTGGTACCTTGAGGACTAAATCCAGTAAAAATCACTGAGGGCCAGAATTTTTCCGCTTTACCCCTGCTGACAGCAATTCACCTGATAGGCTTTAAACACAAGCAAAGCGATGCAATGGGCACTGCACACTTGACAACTGATCCAGCCACAACACATCCCATTCAGAAAAAAAATCCCTGGTTAGAACCTGTTTTAATAGAAATACTTTCCTTTTTTTTTTTTTTTTTTTTTCCCCAAAACACTTATCTGTTTGGGCAAAAGAAAACCTCATTGTCGCTTTTAGCACATCTACCAAAAAAACAAACCCCGAGTCCTGACCTCATCACTGATCTGCTGTTATCAAGGGCAAGTTATGTATTCCTGTCTGCCATTGGTCCTGATATTCCCAATTCTGGAATTTGACATACATTTAACATATGCCCATCTCCAATAAAAGATCAGTAAATATTTAGCTTTTCCTACATATTTGTAACAGGCTGAGGAATAAGGGTCCAGGCTTCTTCCTAGCAGAGGGTGCCCAGAACACTGTTTCTGCAAATGTTTGTTTCTACAAATGATTCTGTAGGTGGCATTTTTACTTCTTTGCAGCTTTCCTTGTTAAAGGCATTGTAAATGACCCCTTCCCAAATAATCTGTATGGTAGGGGGGTTTGGTGGCTCCCTCCCTACAGTGCCTTCCAAACCTCTACGTAAATGTGATTGTGGCCGTGTAATCTGTGTACCTGGAAATATAATTCGTTTTGTTGCTAATGAAGGTCCTACGGCACAAATTTATTAAAGGTATACTTTTCCATGGGATAATAATTGGGTCGATAATATTAAACTCATAGGCTCATTATTTAATTGCAAGGGCAGATTATGAATACAGCTTCTAAAATGTATTTTAATGAAAAACACTACATCCTGGCCTAATCATATCAACCTTATGCTATCTAATTAAGGATGCAAAAAATCATTAGAGTTGCAAAATATTAGTTCCAGCTCCATCAGGCTGCTAGCTGCCCCTTCATGAATATATATATTTTTTTACTCTATGATAAATAGTTAATGAGGTAAAAATGACAAAATTTGCATGTAGGCAAATTAGTTTAATAGAGTGATGTCTTCCTGGTCTACAGAAAGTGACCTTTTTCCTATCAAAAGAATGACTAAAAATACTTTGAAACGATGGCATGGATGTCATTCCACAGATGACAAATCGCTTCTCTGAACAATATAAAAATTATAAAATGCAATAACCTTAAATTCTCATCATACTGTAAATGTGTCCTCTGCTGCTGCATTTATCAATTTAATAAAAGGAAATTAAGCATATTATAAAATACCCATTTATGGGGCAATTTTTAATCCAGGGAATAAAAATGAGAAGCACATGGTTAATAGCAAGAAAATATTGCAAAAACGTAGACCTATTTTTTCCAGGAGGTTTGACTGACTATTTACTTGAATGACCTCCATTTAAAATATATTTTTTATATGGAGTGATGTAAGATATGGCAGTCTCATGCTTCCCTTTATAAAAATTGCTCACAGTTAATTTGGTATCTTATTTAAAAATTAACACATTAATAATGCACGCAATAAGGCCTAGTGATGTGTCTTCCATACTGATGACTTTGTACAATTAGACATACAAAAAGAAAGGGACAAGATAAATACCTTATGCAAATTCATGGCAGAAAAAAAGGGTCTTTCTGCAATGCCTAGGAGCATAAAAGAACTGAAAACATGGTTCCTGGTCTTGCAAGGAAGACCAGGACCGTGTTCTCTCCATGTGGAGAATATATTTCTGGAACGGACCAAGTTTTTGATACAACACTAGATTTGCCAAAGAGCTAATGAAACTTAGTTTGATGGTTCTCTTGTCCATAAAAATAATATAAATAAGAAATTGGAGCAGAAGGGGAAGATTTCAGGTCTCTGAAGAACACTGGTTCTGTTTTCACAGTATTTGTGTTTCACACAGATAGCTTGGGGATTTTGGACAGCAGTCTCCACTCAGATTTTCCTCATTGTGAGCAAGTGACACCCAGTGAAGTAAATGACAGAGATCTGACTGATGCCAAGGATGCAAATTTCTGCACGCTTTCTACATTATTCCTATCTCCTTATATCGTAAACTCTGTACCAGTACAGATGGGAATATACTTTTTAGCAGGCCCTGTTGTGATAGGACAAGGAGTAATGGTTTTAAATTGAAATTTAGACTAGATATAAGGAAGACATCTTTTACAAAAAGGGTGGTGATACACTAGAATAGGTTTCCCAGGGAGGTGGTAGATGCCCCATTCCCAGAAACATTCAAGGTCATGCTGGATGGGGGTCTGAACAACCTGATCTAGTTGAAGTTGTCCCTGGTCATTGCAGGGGAGTTGGACTAGATGACCTTTAAAGGTCCCTTGCAACCGAAACTATTCTGTGATTCTATGACAATCCAGATTTCTTCCATTCAGGGGCAGGCTATTTATATAGAGAGAGTAATTTTTCTTTCCATTCTTTTCCATTTGCCTTTACCTCCACCCTCTCCCTTTCCTCCCCCCTCCCCCCATTTTTTTCCTCCTTCTCCCACCCCCTGCCCCAGCCCCACATCCACCCCTTTCTGTACTGCTGTGAGAAATTATATCCTGGTGATATCATTAGAAATAGATTCAGCACCTGAAACAGAAAAGTTTGCAGTTGCCTTATCCACCACTTTTTCCATATGGCACTAGTAGCCCTGGCATGTAAAATGAGGTCCAGTATGTATGTGCTTTGTTTGACCTTACTTAACAAGTAACAAAAGTAATAGAAGCTAGTCATCAGTGGCTATGTGTTGACTTACTGTAGAAACTTTTTAAGTGCAAAAAAAGAGTGATTTAGCTTACTGGGGTAAAGCAAAGAAGTGCTATCTGTATAAAAAGTGGGAATATCTGAGGCGGGTGGCTGTGGTAGCACATTCACTCGTTTATCATATCTCTTCCCTCCCCTCTGTTGAAATGCAATGTGGTGCCCTGCACTTTCCCACAAAAATTAAGCTTACTGAGTATCTGCTTTTTCATTCAATCAGCGCATTCACCTTTTGCTTTTTCCTTTCAGGGTCCAAACTGTCATCACGAAAAAAAAGCGGAAAATAATTGCAGCTGTGCCAGATGTTTATAGCAGTGACAACTGCTGATCTTTCAGAGGTACCTATAGAGACTTGAAAAACCTGCATACACTAATCTGAAACCACTTGTTCCAGTGGGTTAGAAAAGAAAACAAATAACTCATACATACTTAAGAGGACTAATTTCTTTCCTGTCTGGAATCTGTCCATTTTTACACCGAAGCAGGACAGTTACTGTTACTGTGCACAGAGGTACTCATAGATATAAAAATCCAATTGATGAGCAGTTTAACGATTGTCCAAGAGCCATTTTACAGTAGTCCTATGGGAACTTACAATGCTAACGCAATGCCAGAAAGCAAGGAAGAAAATGTCCCTCACAGAAGGAAGACAATGATCCTCTGACTACTGACCATGTTACTTCTGTTATTTTCAAGTCTCTGAAAGCAATTATGACCAGAAACCTCATTTGTGGTTGGCATCCCCAACACTGGACGGTTTGCAAACACAGATACATCTCCTGCACTTCACAGCTTAAAGTCTATATATGGAACTAGAGGCTAGTGGCTTAATGGAAAACAAAGAGAAATTATTTTGATAGCCAAAGTATAGCAGCCCAACTTTAGACCTCCCCCTGCACATTTCCAATTCAGCCCACTCCTCTGGGCAATCCTGGAAGGAAAAAGCAGGAAGGAGAGCATGGCTATCATAACTGACTCACCAAACTCACACCCCTTCCTCACAGGGCAGCCCCATCCATGTCCTTGCAGGGAGCAAATTCAACCTGTCCACAGAGCTCCCCAATTTGCTGAGATGGCTAAGAAATTATCTGGGATGGTACAGACATTCAAACAAACAGCAAGTCTCTCTATGACCTGGTCAAGAATCACCAGATGGCATAGATAATTTTTGACATCAGTGATGCCACTAAGCCTTTGGATACTAAGCAGACTGTAGCCCCTTAAGATGTTCAGACAATGCACATAGAACTTTCTCACAAAATTCTCCTGAACATGCTTCTTTGCTTCTCCATTCAAATAATCACCCTAATTTTCTTGTATACCTAAGTTCTTTTACATAATACCCAGAGTCACAAGCTCTCTTCACCACTTACCATCCGTCTTTCACCATTGACTCCTCTCCACTGCTCAGCCCTCTTCATAATATAGCTCAGCTCCTGATTGGAAATCTCCAAGTCCAGTGGAACGAAGAATGTGCCTTCCTCCCCATGAATGCGTTGAAATACATCCAACAGCCAACCTTCACTATGTAGCCTGAGGATAGAAATGACACATTTAGTCCTCCTTTGAAAGTACTTCTCATGTAAAAAATAAAAAGATATCTTACCCTTTTGTAGACTTTTAAAGCTTGAGTTTCCCTTCACGACTATATTCTCAACCCATGAGTAAAAAGTTTCTTTCCCATAAGTTCTCCAACATACAACACTCGCAAACCCTCTGGAGACTTTACAGCATGTGAATTGAATCACAAAACTTAAGCAGCAATTTCTTTTAATTATTTCAAGATATTGTCTTAAAATGATCCTGATCTTCTTTTCCAACAGAAATGTCCCATGTCCTTAGCATTGTGCTGGGTAATTTTTCCCATAATCTTTCCCATAAGTTCTCCAACATACAACACTCGCAAACCCTCTGGAGACTTTACAGCATGTGAATTGAATCACAAAACTTAAGCAGCAATTTCTTTTAATTATTTCAAGATATTGTCTTAAAATGATCCTGATCTTCTTTTCCAACAGAAATGTCCCATGTCCTTAGCATTGTGCTGGGTAACTACTGGGCTGCTTACATGGAGCATCTCAGTTAGGCATTAATGGAAGTCCTGCTGTGCCAGGGTTCAAAAACGGGCAAACCACATCATATAGGAAGGAACTACTCACCATTTTTTTCAACCCCAAGCCTGAATTCTATACAATCTAAACTTATCTTGATGTTAGAAAAGCTTATTTTGTTTTTTGGCTTTGTTTTTTCCATGACATTTCTGTGCTGTGGTAGGGAATTGAATAATCACGACCCAGTAAAATTCTCTACCACAAGAAAGGCTTGCTGTGTGGTATTTCTTAATGTAGGTGAAACCAAGAAATATTGCGAGGCTTTTGGAAAGCCTAGTGTCACATTTTTACCCTTAGATGAACTTTAAAACTTCAAAACATTGCTGTTTAATTCAAATGAAACCTCTTCAAGTTAATCTCTTTCTCATTCTATTTTTATTCCAAAACCAGGGGTTCAGAAATAAAGATCAGAAAATCTGGATTAGATATTGAACTGAGGTCTTTCGTTTTGTACCCTCTTCCAAGCTAACACTTTATTACAATTTGGCTCTTGCTTGGTGCCAATCTCTGCTTTTCTATATTCCCCAGAGACTGGCTGGGTAGTCATGAGAAGCATAGGGATTGCTCTGTGGCACTGCAACCAACAAAAAGCCTGTGGCACTGCAACCAACAGAAAACAATGTCTGTGGGGCTGAACAGGTCCTTCATTTCTTGGCAGGTAGGAACGAGAGCACACATGCAACTCCTTTGATGCTCTGAATTCTCTTCTCATGTACAGCAGCACTAGATGCAGCTCTTGTGGCTGATCCTTATTCCTGTGTCTTGTATTGGTATGTATGTACCAGCTGATGTGTGGATAGCAGTGAGCTGTTCAATTAAATCAGAATTACGTTCACATTTACACTAGCTCCACATCTCACCTTACAGTGCACACAGTAACTGTAGAGAAGCACACTCAATAAGCTGCTTAGTACAATTCTGTTCACAACTGAGATTTAGTGTGAGATGCACCAACAGACAGTTTTTCAACTTGATCTCGGGAGGAGCTTTAGGTCTCTCTTCAAAGGGGAATATGTATCTTAGGGTCAAGCTCTATATCCAAGAGTTTCTGTGATGGAGTAGCTGTTCTGATACTGGCAGCCTGGCTCAACATCAGATTAGGAATTTATATCTCCTGCTTTGCTGCAAAGGCACTCTCTGTACCTTTTTTCCCCAACCTTCTTTTTTGAAATATTCCTTTTTGAAGCTGCAGCTCTAAATTTGCTGTAGTTTCCAAGATGTCATATTGGGATTCTCTTATCAAAAGAGGAGATAACCTAATCAAGGTGCAGGTAGTCCTGGGAATATAAACAAACTGATGACCACGAAAGTATATAAAATGCTCTGAAGGATACTAAAATATCTTTAAAAGCTCTATAGAAGAGAAGATTTTAGAAAAATAACTAATACCTTTCATGGAGTAATTTCCCAAATTCCACAGTGTCTTCAAAGAAAAGTTTGTCTCTTAATCCCTGGATCTATATTAGATGTTCTTGCAACAAAATAGATACATTTTTGCAAAGATTGACTGGTAATTTAGAATTATCTGGTGCTCAGTTGAAAAACTAGCAAACAAGCTGGTGGAGTTTCTGGCCTTCCACTCATCTTGAAACAATAATATTCTATCATGTTTGTCTTTGAAATTCCAGGTCAGCAATTTAAATGACTTGCTACTTGTCTTGCTAAACAAGAAAAAGACCTTGCTATTTATTTAAGCTCACTTAATGTAACATTCTTATTTCAAATGAAGTAAAATTTAATGCAGTTAAATTACTGTCTATTTGCTGCCATAAACATTTTCTGTATGAAGATTTTAAGCACATGGTTATAAACAATATAATTAACTTTGAATTAATTAAGAATCATGAAGCCTGTCTTCCAGCTTTGTTCCTTTTGCCCAAAAGTATTCAGTCTGCTCCTGTTACCTGCTTTAATTTCTTTTCTTTGGCACGAAAACTAATAAAACACTTTTCCTTGTGCCTTAGCATGGCTTATTATAAATATGACAATAATAATTTCTATTGCTAATATAATAAAGAGCAAAACAAAACTCAGATCCATTTTCTAGGGATATGAGACCCACTATAATACCTTATAAGTTCATTCACTTATAAAGAGCAGAAAACATTGAAACGGTTTGCTATTCAGTCAAATAAAAAAAATGGACTTCTCAAAAAATTGCACAAATGAAAAACTGAGGGGTAAGGTGGCTTTTATTACATTTTTGCTTGAGCTTTTCTCATCCTTTTTTGGAAAACAACTGTAAAAAATAACTTTGCTGTTAACATTGAAAAATGTAGATTTTTGAAGCTTTTTCTCAAAAAATGTTTCAATACCAGGAAACTTAGACTCTTTCCAGCAGACGTTTTCAGTTGAGATAGGTCTGCATTTTCTCACAGCGCAGAAAACACTTCACCAACAAGTTTCTGACTGTTTCTACTGGAATTAAAATGAAGGAATTGCAACCAGTGCCACTTAATTTTTCCAAAAAGTACTTAGAATGTCTCTCCATGCCAGATGTACTACAGACTCCCAAGACACCCAAGAGGAGCCGGATTTATTGAGGTATGTTGGTATATAAAGACACTAACAGATGCCTACTGCTGTTTACCCCCAGCCCGTGATTTCCTTGGATTCCTGGTTGTTCATCAGTGCTACCATGAAGCTTTCTAGCTGTGGCAGAAACAGATATTTCCCCTACTTGCTTTAGCCATCTGGTAGGCTCACTGTTTTATCCCTTTTTTTTATACTCTGCTGAACACTTTTCTTAAATCGCAAATTGCTGAATAATTCTGACCAATGGCCCCAACTCCACCATCCAACAGCCAAAGTCTTCCCTGTGGACTGGTGTTTCAGGAGACAGAAGACATCCCTCAATATTTATATTAGCTTACCTTACAAGAGAAAAATGTGGTGGATGCCTGTGTAAAAAAATACATGTTTTCTGAGTCGAGCAACATTACATTTGAATATCTTTGAGATATAACACCTTAGAAATATTCACACAAAAGGATACTACTGCTTTGGTTATAATTCTATTTTTGCTTGTTATATCAATATTCAGGAGACAATGTTATCAATTGCAAAGATGTTTTCTTTAAAATAATTTTAAAAGGTTTTAATGCTATCATTAGTGGACTGACAGTGTGTTGCTCAAGAGTCCTAGCCAGGTCCAAGGTTCCCACTGTGTTGCGCTGTGGACGTACAAGGAAGAGAAAGTTGATCCAATTTCAGAAGCTCAGAGTATAACTTTACTCTGTACAGACTCCAGTATTCAAATGTTTCTTTTTGTTATCAAGAAAAGAACTTCAAAGACCTTATGCATTGTAACAGATTTTGTTATCTTCCCTTTGCTTTTGTATTTTGCTATGAATCATTTTTAAAATGTGTCTTACTAAGACAACTTTTTTCCCCTAGTAACATTCTCCCTCCACCCCTTTATTGGAAAACATTATGGGAAAATTGATCCAGAAGGAAAGGAACCTTTGATGATCTTGCACCTGTTCCCCAGACAATGAAGATGTTGGTAATATTCTCATAAAAACCTGCCTTACAAATGTTTTAATTTAAATTAATTTTCCTGAGTAATAAACGACAGCAGCTAAAACTTATGAAGCTATTCAAAACTATTAAGTCAATGATTAAGAAGGCATTAACATCTCAAAAACTAATTAACTAGACTACCAGTACATTGGAGTTGTGTACAGCTTCCAGGAATGCAGGAGCTTTGAAATACTTTGCAGAAATTTAGATTGCCATTTATCTTTTTCTGCCTGCTGCAATGGAGTTTGTGGAAAGGAGACCAAGGAATGATTCTTTCAGATGAAGGGCGTATGCTGAGCTTTTCTGCTCTTACACCTGCCTGCATCTTGTCTCTGCATACAGCTTTTTAGTGCTGCTTGCCACCACTCAATGTTCATCATCGGCTGAGTTCAGGGCCAGTACAAAATTCACACTGCTTTATAGATGAGGCACTCAGAAAAAAGAAAATACACTTTTTCATTCAATATATTAGACAACATATCTCGTTCATTTTCAGTGTCCCACACCTGTCCTTATTTACTCTATGGCCGATGGTGCCTGCTAGAAAGGTGGCAAGAAAGATAATTGGTCACATTTCATGTTGAACTGAATATTGATAGTGGGCTAAAGTCATGGAAAAATAATTTGGGTTAAGTCACAGTGGGTTAAAGCCCAGGTCACATCAAGACACAATCCTGTGTCATCAAGCCTGTAAGACTCTGGGGGCCACTACAGATTCAGGGAGAGATTCTGCACTTCACAGCATATGCAGCTTTCTGATTTTTTCCTATTTCTCACAAAAACCCTGCTTGGAAGACTAAAGGTACTTCCAAAGTACCTAAATAAAGGTACACACACTTCAGAGCTTAACCCTTTGACACAGACACCATTGTCCAAAGCCAAAGGGACAGAGGCTTCTGGCTCTATGAAAAATCATGATAACAATTGTGTTCCTGTTGAGGAAATAAGTGGCTCCCTTGTTGCCTTCTGTGGCCACCAAATATTAGTGCATTAAAAGTTAAGCAGGAGCTAACCCCTCCTTGATTGTCTGCAATTCTGGGCCCTGGACATGTGACATTGATTTATCTTTTCCGATGTCACCTTATTTTCTTTCACAGGAGAAGGGGCCTAAGCTCCTAAGGGAATAACGAGATAAACAGACATACCTTAAAAAGTACAGGTACAATACTGTCGATGAAATGAAGAACAGAATTGTATAAAGCATCACAGTGATTAAGACACCAGGAATCCCTGACTCCTCTGCTCTTAGAAAGACCCAGTAGAGCTTTGCAGCATCAGCAATGGGTTTCTCTACACTGTTCCCAAGTCGCTGTCATGGGGGAAAAAAATCAACATAAGAAAATGACAAACCTGATTAGACTATTTACATACAGAAATAAAAGAACATTAATTTCTTTATAGGAAGGTTTTCACTGTAATTTGTGGGAGTCACAGCATGAAACTTAGGAGTCTGCTACACAGAATTTGAAATTAACCATGAGATGTGAAATGAACTATTTTCTGGCTTATTTTAGTACAATGAAAATCTACTCTATAGAGGTGGCTTCTTGAACAAAACCCATGTCCCAGTGAAAATACCCAATGTGAGCTTTGATAGCATATTTCAGGGGAAGTGGAAGAAGGCTGAAATGTGCCTTATTTCAATGACCAGAAAGACACAATGTTGAATGATTTATGCTGCTGTTTTTAGGAGTGCTGGGTGAGCAGAAGACATGTGTGCCAGTGCATAATTCCAAACTGACCAGTCTCAAAATGACATCCCCTTGTCACAAGAGAAACGCTGGTTCCTCCCAGACTCAACAATTTACATTATTTTGACCATATTTGAACATTTGGAGGGTGTATACACAATTCCCAGTTTCAGATCAAGTCAGTGTCTGGTGCTACCACTGAAAAACAAAAGTAACCATCATGTTATCTGAAATGCTAAATGGAAGCATCAGAGCATCTGCATGCGTTGCCAGCTGACACCTAGGAAGGGCTTTCCACTAGCCTTGTAAACAACAGCATCAGTCAAAGAAGGCAGTGGATTCACAAAGCTTCACTGAGACTCAATGAGGTGAGAAAAAAAGAAAGTAACTACAAGTAGATCAACAGGGGACACCAGCAGGGTTTTGTGAAGTTTTGCCCAAAGGGGTTGACCTTTCAATGCAAAAGAGACAAGTTCACCCTTATGGAGCAGTACATTAATTCATGTTCATGCATTATCAAGTCTGTCTGCAACGTTTTAAGTCATAAAATCAGATATTCCCTTCATCCCCCACTCCTAGTGTCCAGTCAGTCCAGTCGGGGAAGCCACACAGAACAGCCTGTAACATTGAATAATCAAAAACATCATCATTATTTTATTATATAGCTCTCATTTAATTTCATTCTTTCCTGAGAAAAAATAGAGACACAATGAGACCAATACCTGTGAAGAGATCTGTCTGTACTGTACTCCCACTACTGCGCGGGAATTAAAGATACCTCTTAACTGTACAAAGTAGCAACCATAAATTGTATCATTAATAACTTCTCCAAAAATACATGACTGTCATATGTCCTACTTAGTTATGCTACTAATAGTTTATCTTCAACTGCTCTGTGAACAAACAAACATATATAACTATTTTGATTCCGCTGACATTGAAGCAAATCTTTAGCATACTAAATACTGGTAAGGAATTAATATTCATAGAACAAAATTAGTAATTTAATTGGGAATAAGGTGGTTTGTGTAGTTTTACAAAGATTCGCATAGAATCCTGAAGGTTTCATAGCACCTTATGTTTCATTATACTTCCAGTAAAACATGGAAAAAGATTTTCCAAAAACCTATTATTTTCCTTTTTTTTTTTTTCCATATCTAGTTCTTAAGAACTAGATACTGTATTGACATATTATTGCCCTCTGCTGGATCAATTTAGAAGAATTCAGCTACATTTCATGGGTCTTCTACCGCTCAGAGCTAAAATAAATTCTTCTCTGCACCTTTTTCTTTTTAAAGTGACACAATGACAGTCATATCCATATTAAATCACGTTAGCACATTTTGCAAGGATGTGAAACTGCATCACCAAAAAATCCAGTATTTATCATTCAGAGAGGGAGGCTGTAACCTTTAGGCTTCAAGAAACCTGCACCTTCCTGAGCAACTTGCCTGGACTAATCCTTAGGAAGAGTCAAAACTTCCCCCCATTTTTTTCTACCTTTGCAGTGACATGCATAATAAAGACAGTTATGAGTCTGATGATGAGCTGTACAAGGACTGAGATTCTTGAGTATATTTCTGTGATCTCTCCACCCTTTGCAACACTGCCAGGTTTCTGTAATGGAAATTGTAAATCCCAGAAAAACAGTAACTGCATATAAAGGCTCTCGCTAATTGAGATCTGTCCGTATTTTTAAAGAAAAATTAAAATACATTTTTTCCTGGTTATGTTCTATCTCCCTGTTCTATTCTCTCTTCTTACAAAAAAAAAAAAAAAAGCTGTCTGCCTCCACCACTTTCTAACTGAAGAGATTGTCTACCAAGGAAAATCCTCTGCACAGCAGTCACGTCTCGACATCCCTCCAGAGAGACAGAAGTCTGAATGGCAAATAAGAATTTCTCTCTTATCCAAGC